AGACTCTACACTTGATCTTAGCCAGCCAAAAGGCTGAGAAAGACATTACTGGGGTGGATTCGCATTCTATGGCGTGCACTATTTTCTCTTTTCTATGATCTTGCAAAGGACCAGCTTCTTGAGCATTTGACAAATTAACAACATCCGTTTTCGAAATGAATTTGTGCTTGAGAAACATGAGCAAGCCAACCTGTAGGGCCAGGGTTTCCTTCAATGGGGGGGGAAAAAAAGAAAAAAGAATGGTCTTTTCTCCTCTCATTGGAGGTTCGTGTGTATATTTGACTTCAGCTGTCAGATTTGCGGATGTTGAGAAATAATGTGGTCCGGAAGTTGGCAAGTGTGATAAAGTGCCTCACTCCGCTAACCACCAAATGTGCAAAATGAGAATGAATCTTCTGCTAGAACATGGGAAAGATGCACGGTCGTTCTTTTCTTCTTTTGTGCATATGGTGAGTAGTGGAGCAAGGCCCCAACTGCCACTTGTGAGGGATTAATCCATACTTGCAAGCGGACGCCGTCCGCGCGATTCAGCACTTGTGGCGGACCGGCGGACCGGACCCGCGCGGCGCACGAATGTGTGCCCGACGACCAGTTACCCCCCCCCCCCCCACACACACACACACAAATAAAAACGGCCTTGTCCAGTCCGGTCCGGTCCGGGGGGGGGGGGCCGCACTCAGCAAAGCGGACCGGACCAGACGCTCGTCCGGTCCGTCCACTTGCAAGTATGGATTAATCTCATATCCGTGAACGAGTGTCAGCGATCAAGCCATAAACATGCAGCACTCTGCTCGATACTGCAAATTCTAATGGTTTACGAGTGTCATTTCAGGAGAAGTGTCGCAAGTAATGGCATTTTTTGAAACTTGGGGCTGCGCTCCGCTGCTCAAACTTGATGGAGACATATATCTGGCCGTTGGATGGACCAGTTGATTTGGACTGATTGCAGAATTTCGATGTTGTGCAGCGGACCGAGGCTCTTAAAGAGCAAATTGTGGTGCTTTGGTGATGTGGGGCTCTAGGCCTCGCGGCGTGACTCACCAAATGTGCAAAATGAGAACGAATCATCATCTAAAACATGGAAAGATACGTTTTTAATTTTTGTCTTTTGTGCATTTGATGAGTGGTGCGGAAAGACCCATTCTCCAATCATTGAGAATCTGAGATACTGGTCGTGCTGACGACTCTTTTTATCTGGGTGGGGATTGCTGGGGTGCAGGATATTGCTGAAGAGCGGTTGGTTTACTGGTCAGGACGGATGCAACAGAAACCGACACCTGGCGATGTTGTAGATGGTAAGCTCGTCATTGACTAGTTGGAAAAATTTCGCACTTCGCGTACTGAAATCGGTCCGCCAGTGTCCCACATCACTTTATTTGCCTAGGTGTTATTGTTGGACTCTCTTTTTTTTTTTTTTTTTTTTTTTTTTTTTTTTTTTTTTTTTTTTTTTTTTTTTTTTTTTTTTTTTTTTTTTGGTGCGAATTTTGAAAATTTTGCTTAGTCGTAGTCCGGTCAATTTGCCTTTTTTTTTTTTTTTTCTCCCAATGATGGTATCACCCCTTTTTTTCCCTTTTATTATTAACGGGCCCAGTGCCCAAGGCTTACATCAATCATAGCAAATGTCTTCCAGATTCAAAGGCCGGCTGTGGCCTCAAACCCTACACCCAATGCAGAGCCTTGCCCCTGTGGCAAATATAACTAGAAAAGCAAAAAAAAAATTAAAAATTGAATTACCTATATAGACGTAATGCACTACAAAAAACTCCTGAATATTATCAAAAGTTTCAAAACGAAATTATCCGACAAACCATACGAACTAAAAGATGGCCCCCCCAAAAACGGAACCCAGAAACCCACCGCTCTTTCGAACCCAACTCAGCTGTTATTCTTTATAACGAAGGCTGACCAAACATGCCACAGGAAAAACTACTACCAAAATTTGCTGAAACAAATGCCCCCAAAGAAACTTGAAAACATTCCTACCCGCAACAGTATCAATATCTGTAGTATCGGGAAACCCTAACGACGCCAAAGTGAAGACCAACGTAAACCATGCTCGTCTATAACGACAAGGTGTCTTAAACAACCTGTACACCCGGGCCTGGAGACGCCTCACTGCGCGGCAAGCTTTTTCAAACGGCCAGTGGCGCACTTGCTTTTTTGGCTGGCGCTGCCAGCCATTGTCGTCCGGTAGGCCGAGCCTCAGAAACTTTTGTAGGCGGCGACACCGGCGAGTTCCATTTTCATCAAGGCTGGGGCCGTGTACTGGCGGCTTAAAGCTCCATGTTCAAAAGTAATCATCCCAGCACGTGCAGTGCGCCACACCCCCCCCAGCACACACACACTCGGGCATGTCAGACAAGCTTTGCGGTCACAACGCATGAGAGTGACCTCCATGGGCCACCGGGGCAGATTAGGTATGGTGGCCATAGCCCAGGCGAAGCCTAGCCCCTGGCGCCAGCAGCGCTAGGTCACTTAGCGCATCACCGCCGTGATGAGACCTTGAGTTTTCTTTGTGCAAATTTTTGAAGTTTAGTCCTCGACTCCTTGTAGAAAAAAGATCACATTCCAATTCTGATTTAATCATTTTAATCATTTAATGTGATATGACCAACAGTCCTTGACTCCTGTATGTGATATGACCAATAGACAGTTTTTTTCCTGTCTTCTTGGTGCGGACTTTGAAATTTTCTTCGTTGTAGTCTGGTAAATTATGACCACATCAAATTCCTTTTGCCATTTTTGAGTTTTTTTCTGGAATTTTTTGCAGCTTAGTCCTTGTAGAAAAAAAAATATTACATTCCAATTATTTATGACTTAATGTATATGACCAACAGCAGCGTAACCGGCGTTCGGGATGGGCCGAACGCCCGAACCCGAACGCCCGAACGTATGGGACCCCTTGGGGATGCGTTCGGCTGTTCGGGCCGAACGCGGACCCAAAAAAAAAAAAAAGGAAAAAAAAGTCATCAAAAAATTCTGAAAAAAAGATATGTCATGGAGAAAAATAAATTAAACAAGATTTGCCTGAGCATTACATCCGAATTCCTTACCGAATTTGAAATAAAAATAAAATACGGAAAACAAATAGTAATAA